AAATCGGATTTATTGACAGATCTCTCATCAATTCTGCATTTTTTTAGTTGTTCAAGTGAGAGAAATGGGGAGACTGTTTGTTGTGATTTTGGAGGGGACAATCTACAGCTGCAAGCACTGCGGAACACATCTCGCTCTCTCTGATCACATAGAATCAAAGGTTAATTCCTCTCCTCCTTCATTAATCCGTCAAAGATCTGAACTCTTTCACCACTTATGCGCGTTTATAGTTTAGGACTTCGTGTTCTTCAAATCTCGGGTAGTTCTGTGCTGGTAATTTGCTTGTTTTTGTTGGAGGAGGAGGATTTAGCATCCATTTAGGGGGGTTTGCTCTTGTTTAATGGCTTATTTCTGATAAGTGATTTTTGTAAAGTAAATGAAATGAGAGAAGAGTCATTGTTTGAGGATATTCATGAAAAGTTACTCCCTTCGTTTCAATTTAAATTTCCCATTTCGGTTTAGGATGTTCGACTAATTTTATTTTCAAAGCATTTTATAAAAAAAATGGTGCAGAATTAAAAAATAAAAATTGCATATTTAAAAACTATATCAAAAAATCAACAAAACTAGTAGTGAGAAGACTATATTATTTTATCATAAGGAAAGAGAGCGAATGAAGTTTTACCTTGTTAATAGTAAACATGTAATTTAATCTAGGACAGATGGAGTAGAACTGTAGAAGCTAGTGATAGGTTTGTAAATAATTTGGTCCCCTAGAAAAGACATGCTTGAAAAATAAGTAGGTAAGACCTACATATTTTTTTTACCTATATTTAGCTTTTAAGTCTTTTATAATCGCAGAGAAACACGTCATCAACTGACTTATAAATTTAAAACAACTTATAAATAGTTTTGACAACTTATAAGAAATAATCACTTAATTTTTTCTTTTATAGGATGAGTTTGCGTGAGCATATTGATGGATATATTAGAATCAGTCCAAATATGTATAGTGAGTCCGCGAGACCCTATATGTCCAGGCCAGTCCATATTTAGGGGGTGTTTCTTTGGGTGGGTACTTTCTGGCTTATTGATGCTAAGTAATTTTTTACTTATAAGCCGCTTATTTAAGTATTTTTTTGGAAAGTGACTTAAATAATAGATAAAAGGTGAATGATAGTTTTATAACTGATCTGGTCAAAACGGAGAAATAAAAAAATAGGATTAAAAATATGTAGGTAAGACTTACTTATTTTTTGGCTTATAAGCACATAGAACCATGTCATCAACTCACTTATTAGTTAAAAATAGCTTATAAGCAGTCTTGATCTACTTATATTCACAAAGAAACACCACTTGATACTCGTATTGTAATCAGGCTCAAACCAGCTAAGCCCACATATTTGGTAAGAAGATGTAGCCCACGTGAAATGATTCAGACTAACCCGACCTGTAAGCGAGTTTAGAACTCTGGCAAGTGGGATGTGTGGCGTGTTGAGGTCGGCGCTACCATGTCCCCATGATGTCTCATGACCACGAGCCATGTTCTTGTGTATCTTAGAGATGTGGGGTAGTTTCCTGCCATTGGTTCAACTCTTGATCTCTATTAATGTACATTCTCCTATTGTTAAGATGGACTCTATTTTTAAGGATTTCTTGAAGTGTTCATAGGCAAGTTATTCATTCTCTCAGACTCCATGTTTTGTTTTGTATTCTTTAGGCATTCCAGTGCAAACATGGGAAGGCTTACCTTTTCAGACAAGTGTAAGTTTCCTCAATTCTGCATGCTCAATATGAAATTATGCAAAATAGTACAAACATATTATCTATGTCGTAATGTATTTATCTAGTTTGGCTTTTTAATGTAAATTTGGATAAATAATTAGTTAATAAAAATTGTATTGCATATTAATATCATTAAATAATTTTATGAAAGCGTTTTGCATGATAAATGTAATACAAATGTGAATTGTTTTTGTATTGATATACAATACCATCAGAGTTGAGATTATACTTTATCACTGTTGTTAGTGTTCTATTCTTTGAAGTTGAAATTTGAATTGGCAGAGTTAATGTTAATCGTGGGAAGAATGAAGATAGAACGATGACGACTGGATTGCATACCGTTGCAGACATTTTCTGTGTCGGTTGTGGGTCAAACGTGGGCTGGAAATATGTGAGTTCAGACATGGAAAAATCCGCATCTCTCTCTGTGTTTTTTATTTTTCTTCTCGGGAAATCATTTTATTGATTCTCATATGTTTGGAGGCTCTTTTTGTAGAAAATGACCACTCTTTTGAAACAAAGAAAGTTATTTTTCATAGTACAGCCCGAGTATTCTCCACAACAATTTATTTTCTTACAATGAAACAATGTACTGTAGGAAAATTACTTTATATGAAAAATGTTTTCTAGGAAATAAAGTGTTGTATGTATAATTTAATGTTTAACCCACTCAATAGAAAACATGAATTTGGTTTTAGAAAATGACAAATTAAGAAGTCATTTTTCACAACAGTTCAAAGTGCCATTGAAACCAGATAATATTTCCCTAGAAACGAACAGAGCTGTAGTCTCAAGTTTTTTTCCTAATATACATTAATGATTCGAGTTACTCGTCTCATCACCATAACTATTTGCAGGAAGTTGCACATGAAAAAGGTCAGAAGTACAAGGAAGGGAAATTCGTCCTTGAGAGGTCAGTTGGAACACACACACAGTGTCTTAAATTTCTAGTCTCATCTTATTTTTTACGAGAGTCTTAAGTTTCTAGTCTTATCGAATGTATATTGCACTAAAAAAGGTGGGATACATTGAAGTATCGGTGTTGATATGATATGGATTCTGAAATCTAGAAGATTTGATATGAGTTCTGAAATATGAAATGAAAGTCTTTAGAGAGATTTGAAATGATGATTGGTAGGGAGTTAGGGACAAGTGGGGATGGCCGGCGACGGTGGCCAGCCGGTGGCCAGTGAGCTGAAGGAGCTACCAAAATCTCTTGAATAAGTCAAGATTGTTATCGAATTGTTCAACTCATTTTGTACCTCTCCTCCTTTTGGTCGAGTCACTTCGTACCTCTACGCAAGCGCAGAATGAGTTTCACTATACCAAATTTGGGAGAAACCGCAACCCCCTCATTTCGGAGGTTTGTGATGCCTGAAGATATCACATCCGAATTATTTTAGGTTTCACGAAATACCCAAAAAAGAATTACAATGTTGGGATATATTAGAACTCATATCTCCTCACGCTCACTAAACCGGCCCTAAGTCTCGAGTTGGGAGATTCAATGTAAGAAATAATAACCAATATGAAAGGAACTAACATTTCTTATTCATGGGTAATGCGGATATATATATATATATATATATACACATACATACATACATACATATGTATATATATATATATATAAATTATAAACATCGAATGCTGATAGAGTTTAGCTATTTGATTTCTTCAATTTGAATTGAATAGGTATAAGATTTCCGGGCCGGATGAAAGCAACTATTGGATCAGTCATGAAGCACAACCCGGGGGAAGTGATGCTGATGATGAGTGATCTTTCGCCTTTTAGATCCCTTTCCATATCCGGCCCCAAAACTTGTATTCCATATCCGGCCCCAAAACTTGTACATACAATCTCTCTTTATCTCGCGAGCTTTCCATATAACTTCTAGGATTCTTGAATAAGTATTTGTAAGTCATTTGATTGCCCTTTAGCACTTGCCAAGAAGCATCTTGTATGGAAACTGTGCAATCTATGCACATGCCGTGAGCTTTGTTCTATAAACTTGTTCAAAGTGTTGCCCCCGGGGCATAGCTCAAAGTAGAAGACCCAAAGTGGTGGGTAACAGAAGCGCTTTTGGCGGGCGAGTAGCTCAAACTTTTGACACCACTCATGACACAAAACTTGACACTGATATGATGCCTAACAAACACGCACAAATATTGATTATTTGTGCGCCTTTGTGAGACGATGTCAAACTTGGCGTTGTGAGTGTTGTTACTATAGCTTAGACTTTTTGCTAGTTTGTTGGGCAATTAGGGTATGTAAAAAAAAGCTATTTGTACACTGTTTTTAACGCTACTTTTCTTACATACATTACAAACATTTAACATTGTTTTGTGTCTGTGAATGTGTAAAAGAAAGTTATTTTGAAAAATAGTGTACTCCAATTATAACTTATAGTGTGTTTTAGTAGTTGAGATTCACTTTGTCAAATTTGTCTATCAATAATTGTTTACTCGAACTCATTCTTCAAATATTCTCTGTCTGATAAGTCCCGACTTCACGAAGTTTAAAAACATTGTTGTAAAATAAAAAGTGTGAATAAAATTTGTTCTAAGAAAATATTTAGCTAACAATTGCCTCTCCATTCTCAATTAAGTGGTCATTACGATTTTTATGATATATAAAAATTGAATCATGCGTATGTAATCTTAAGATTTACATGTGAAATGTAGATATTCTCACAGTTTTCATGGGTTGGCATGAAATGTTTTCTTTTATGTAAAAAGTCTAATCTTTTCATGATGTTTATATACTAAAGTTTATCAAATGAATATGAATTCAAAGTCACATAAAAATTTCCCATAAAAAATCGAATGAATTTTTATTTAAACATTTGATAAAGATTACATTTCAAAAAAAACGATGGCCCATTTATTGTAAATGGATAAAGTATCAAACTATTTCCTTTGTCCTTCAAAAAAAACTACGGAGTATTTCCTTGTGGTATCTAAATTAAAAGTAAGGTTTGGAATTAAACAATAGACAAGATTAATTAAATTGTTGTGCCGCTCTTTCATATCTAGAAAAATTACATCCAAATCCGACAGGTTTCTCCCGGTACTAGCTCACACACTAGACAAGATGGATTAAATTGAGCCAAATCTAAGTATGGTTGGGAGAGAGTAACATACGTTACTGGTACATTCATTTTTTGACAGGATTTACACTCTAGTTAAGTATAATGACACTATCATCTCGATCTCGACTAGATGAGTTACTCCTGGTTAAAATTTTGAAGGATAACTTTTAATAGTAGTCAGTCTACTGTATAGGATTGGTGTACCACTTACGCGTTTGTTCATACCGCAAATATATTTAGCTGGAATTAGTAGTTATGTCAATAAAAGTAGAATCTAATTCTCAAAATCTTTTTTTAAGCCACCATCAAATGCTTAAGGCCTTAAGCTAGTGAAAGTAACTTTCTTTGTTGGTAATGTGATTCGAATTCAAGACTTTGATAGGCAAAAATTTTTAGGGTCTTTTTGGTACACGAAATTGATAAAATTGGAATTGAATTAGAAATTGAAATTTTACGGAATTAATTCGGATTGAATTGAAATCTTCAATTTCTATTCATTTTTGGCACTATAATTTCCAAATCCACATATTTTAATGCTATCAAACAACGGAATTGACATTACTATCTTCAATTCTAACCTTATAGTTTAAATTCTGTGTACGTAACAAAGCTTTAATGAGGACCATGCTACACTTACACCAAAACATATACCCCATTTGTACACTACAGGTTTGCACAAACATTTCGATTGTTTACACCGACATAAGTGTTCGTGCATTAATAAAAATTCACACAAACACGAATGTTGGTGCGTTTAACAAAAATTAGTTTTACACCAACACAAAGTGTTGGTGCAAAACTACGAGATACAAATTGGGGTACAAACATTGGGTACACATAGCATAATCTTTTTTTTGTTCATATTCTATAAAAGGAGAAAAAGCGATGGTTTATTTCGTAAATATTAGGGAACCAAGGGGGCGATAACAATCCGTATAACGTGACCGTAAAGGGAAGAAAAGAAAAAAAAATACTCCGTAAAAAAAAACAGCACAAAAGCTGTTGCAGACTCGTAGTGCCATTTAACATTTGGACCCCACAATACTTTTATTGCCCACCTAAGCCCCCCAAAATGGCAAAGTTTTACAATAACGCCCCCTGTCCCGCCCAAACTCCTGTCCCTCATTTTCATAACGTAATCTGAACGCTAAAGAAAAATATTTCTCCGTCTTCTTCAAATCTATCTATCATTCCTTCTCCACACACTTGTAACTCAACAATGGCGGCGATTCTCTGAAGCTCATAGTGCTTTTTATGTATTGTTACTGTTACTGTTATTGTTATCTATTCTCTCTAGGGGTTCGCGAATCTGTGCGCTGGAATCTTTTGAATTTTGCGTTTATGCCTTTTCTGTTTTCCACTCTGAATTGTCGAGTGAGGTGAGGTGTAGACGCGAATTCGCGTTGATTCGAGCTCGGATTTCGGAGAATCTGGAGCCGGAGTTTCGATTTGAGGGTGGTGATTTTGAATCCGGGAAGGGAGACGGCGGCGGATGGTCTGTGGGTTTTGGGAAGGAAGACGAGGTTTTGAGGGTTTAGGGTTTTGGGACGTGACGGTGGGGAGTCTTAGGAGCGAGATGATGATGGATAAGGAGGAGGAGCTGGCATTGTTCAATGAAATGAGGAGGCGGGAGAAGGTGGGAAACGGCGAGCTTCTTCTGCTTGAGAAATCAGATGAGTTTGATGCCCTTCTTGGTATGGGAATATTTTGCACTTCCATTTCTGTGTTTTATTTGATATTTAGACGCTATGTTGGGATTCAGTTGTTCATTTGATGCTTGTTTGCTTCTTATTTTTTTTAACTCTTCGTATATGTTTCGTTTGGAAAGAAATCTTTGGTTTTTGGTCATAATATCTAATTAACATACGCTTCTTGTTGGTCGAGATTAAGAAATGTGTAATTTCCAGCATTTTGGTGTGTTTTGTGCTCTGCAATTAGACGTTTGAGTATTTTTATTTCAATTTCATTTTACTCCAGGCTCTAAGGATGGAAGTTCTTCAATTCTTAATGGTGGTGGTAGGGCTTGCATGCCTGCCCCAACGATGGTTGCTGATGATTTTCTATATTCCGAGAATGACAAAAATGACTATGAATGGTATTGGTAATTGGTTAATGTATCTGAGTTTTTGCCTAGAATGTGCTTGACTGTGGCTGTTTTTTTGTGCCTTACACTTAATCCTTGCATTGTATGGGTAGGTTGATTTCCAACATCATGCTCTTTTGTGGGTTGAGATGTCAAAATCAAGCCATCCTTGCCTGATATCTTCGTGTCTATTCTCATTGTCATGTATATCTTTTAAGCAGTTTTGTTCCAAACAATAATATGAGAAACTATGTATGGAATATTTGAATTTCTGATGTAGGTGACAGAACAATTCTATTTATTTACAAAATGTAATAACAACCTTAAATATGTGATGATGACTGAAACAGAGTCTTTTGTAAGAAATGCCTTCTCATTTGAGTACTAACAACTACCTATCTAGCAATCTCATTTGAGCATTTAATATGTTTTTTTAAATGCTCTAATTTGGTCTTAGCACAGGGAGCATATTTTGAAAATTAAGAGCTTGTTATTTTTTATAAAATGCATTTATTCTATGAGAATAATTCCAAACACACTCGTAACTATCCACTCTTTTATTCAAGCTTTGTACTTTACATGCCATATCATTAAACTACTCTAAAGCAGTTCATATGACGTTTCAGGCTCCTAACACCACCTGGCACTCCTCTTTTTCCTTCATTGGAGATGGAGTCCCAGAAGACAGTGATGAGTCAGTTGGGATCCTTGAAACCTCGTCCGACTGCTCTGAAATCCGGAGTGAGAAGTTTTTAATATTTTCTCAGTTCTTGTAGCAATTCTTGTTGCACCCTTTTCTTATACGAGTACATTATTAGTCTAATTTTGCAGCCATGCCACTATTTTTAAGGCCAAACAACCACAACCTTCGCATATATTTGTAATTCTGTCTAAAGCTTTAAAAATTCTCAACGTAACCATATTTGCATGGTTATATTGACAATATTTAAGTTTGGATAGAAGTGCACTTTTGCGCATATTTGTGTTTTTTGGTCATTATGCAGCTTGCATCCTCCAATACATTTGAGATCATTAATTAATTAGATTTCTCTAAAGTCTCACCCCCAGATGCATATTGAATTTAGAACTCTTCCACTGTAGGGAGTGATGATGCTTTACCTTTTGTGTGTCTTTATATCATTGTTACTCTATCAGTAATAATATTAATATCACTACTACCACTACTACTATAATAATAGTTATACTAATTATTAATTTATTATTAGACAGTTCAGTGCTTTAATTTGTGAATGATTCCCTATGATCCCATTAAAAGAAAATATCAATTTATTGAATTTGCATACAATTGATTAAATGGTTGCAGCCTGCAAATCCGCTTGAAGCCACAGTTAGAAGCAACTTGACATCCAGAAAGCCACAATCCTCATCCCCAGAGTTAACAACTTCAACACCCAGTATTAGAAGACCCTCTTCATCTAGTAGCTTGAGACCATCAACACCTACTAACCGATCCACACTGAACAATCCAACTAAACCAGAATTGAACACCACAATGTCTAAAACATCAACTTCAACAAGGCCAACCAGGTCTTCAACACCTACTTGTGGTCCAGTAGCCTCGTCTACTAAGACCACAGTTGCTCCAAGATCTTCAACACCGACTAGGCAGCCCATCCCTGGATCAAAGCCCATTTCCAGGTAAGGGTGTAAATAAATTGAATGAAATCAAAATATCCACGCATTTGATTGTTTTTTATGATACTCATGTCTTATTAATAATATCCAAATGCACTTATACACCTAATAATCACTTTGATTTGAAAATTTATATTCAAAATGCTCAGTATATTTTACTCCGCATTAAAGTACTCACCCACATCATCACACCACCATCTTTTTTTAGCATGAATTTAGTGTTAATAAGTCGTTATACCTTCAGTTGGCACTAGAATATACTGTATTCGGTACCTTTATGGGATTTTACTGGATTTGTTGTTGTTGTTGTTGTTTGTTGTATAGTTGGATTAAGGTGCTTATAATTATACTCCATCCGTTCCAAAAAAAGACTCCTCATTTCTTTTTTGGGACGTCCCAAATAAAGCCTCTTTTTTCCTATTTTGGAAAAGTTTGAGTGGCTCACAATCTTTTTCTCTCTTCTCTGCATCACTTATAACAACACATTTTTCACTTTCCTTAAACTTTGTGCCAAGTCAAACCAAGAGTTTTATGGGGGGGGAGGGGGGGCGGAGGGAGTATATAAAAAAATTGGTGTAGACAGTAGATATAAAAAAATAAAATTTATATATAGTTGAAAACTACATCAAAATTCTACGGAGTTCAAAATAATAGATGGCGTGACTATACTATTTTGCCACATGATCAATGAAAATATATAAAGAAAGGAGATATAGTTTGATCTCATAAATGGTATATGCTACTTTGTTTTAGAGACGGAGGGAGTATATAATAGGACTATAGGAGTATGTTGTGTGTGCATTCAAATTTGATTCAAAATTATTTTTATTCTTTTACAACCCGTGAGATTTCCTGGATTTTTGTTGTTATAGTTACAAGCCTACTCCTAGGGCAGCAACTCCTACCCGACGGCCATCTTCTTCTTCCATAGCCATCAAGCCTTCTACTACACCAACTAAAAATCCCAGCTCCCCAGATGTGAATCCAGTACCGACAAAGGCTTCAGATATCCCTAGGGTTTCTGCTGATGCTCCACCAAATTTGATGACATCACTACCACAGGATAGGCCACCTTCAGCTACTAGGGGTAGACCACGAATACCCGTTCCCCGCTCTTCATCTATTGAGCCTGTTGGGACCGGAAAGGTTAGAAGACAATCGTGTTCTCCGGCAAGGGGACGCCTTCCCAATAGAACAACAGTTCATGGGAGTGGAAGCTCAGTACCTATTCTAGCTATGAGCCGTTTACATGCTAAGGCAAATGACAATGTAAGCCCAGTTGTGGTTGGAGCAAAAATGGTTGAAAGAGTGGTCAATATGAGGAAACTCGCCCCGCCAAGACAAGACAATGAAACATCCCCAAATCGTAATTTATCTTCAAAGTCTCCATCCCTCGAGAGCTCGGGATTTGGAAGAAATTTATCAAAGAAATCTTTGGATATGGCCATAAGACACATGGTATGCACATTATTTTTTATATTCTATAGTGACTGTTCTCCAGCTTCTCCTACCCATGGAGATGACATTTTATGTGATGTCATCTGGATATCTGATCAAACAAATTGATGGGATCCATCCCCTAAATTTAAAAGTTAAAACACTTCACACAGATGATGTACCATCAAATGGAGCCTCATATGATGTCCTCTCCATGCGTCGGAGGAAGGTCCTTTCCTTTAAAAACTTTCATATTCCTTGCTTAAATATGTGCCATTTAAAAACAATCTCAAACAAGGCCTTCATGTTTCGTTTCTTTTTATTCCTCACTAGTGCCATTTAGGGGAACAACATCATTGGTTTCTCTTCAATAGAAGGATAAACAGTTTACTCTTCCATGGGGAAATGTTATCCAAGGTTTGGAGAGATACCTTTCCATATTTGTTCTTATTCTTCATGAATTTTGGATTTTGGAAACAGGATATACGACGAACCGTTCCAAGTAATCTTAGGCCATTAGCAGCCAAAATCCCCGCATCGTCCGTGCACAGTGTGAGAACAAGGTCCACCGGTAGAGGCATGACAGCGAGCAAATCTGACTCACCCTCGCATGCAACTACCAACAACAATGATTCCTCTGAAGTGAGTGCCAATGAAGTCGACGGTGACAACGTATGATTATGTCATGAGCAGCAACGATGACAACGCATGATTGCTCTGAAGTTGTGCTGAAAGAATCGATTATAGGCGCGCCTCTGATTCGTCGTTGTGTATAAGGCGGATGAGGTAATTGGAAGGAAGTCTTTGTATTATACTCTGTAATACTCCGTAAGTAATTACTGAGTAATTAATGAATACAAATCCCAGATGTGGTGATAACCCCAATGCCCTTTTTTTTTGTTTATGTGTAATTAATTTACTTATAGATGTTGAGAATTTGAAATAGCCCCCCCCCGTTTCTCTTTGGCCTAGCTGCATATAAAAGGCAGTGTAGAATGTATGAGATTGCTGCTTGTTTTTTTGTCACCTGCGAAAGATGCTTTTTAGTTTGATGCTTGGAGTGGTTTCCCTGTTTTGATTGGGTCATTGATGGAAATGGTTGTGCTTATGGCTCAATCATTTTAAATTTTAAATACTTGATTAAAGAAAACAATATATAATGTGCAGTTTGAACTGGGGGTCTTTTGAAAACAGCCTTTCTATTTTCGAGTAGAGGCAAAGTTTGATGGCTGACGCACACCCTCTCCAGACCCTACTCTCGTGGAACACAACAGGATTGTTGTTGTTGTTGATTAAAGAAAACAATATGTATAGATTGATCAAAAGTGGACTAACTCTAATTTTACATGTCCTCTGTATATAAGATTTATGCATGCTGCATGAATAAGATTTTAAAGATCAAATGAAATTTGACTGTCCGAGTGGGTAGAATGAATGAATTTTTTGAACATTCACTAAAGTATGAGGTTTTCCCTTCCCTTTGAGACAAGATTTTTTTTAATGTCAATTTACACGACCTTCTAGAAGCTACCAAACGGACACTAATGATTAAACTAGTGTCATTCATATAAATAAATTATACTTTTACCTCTTAAAAAAGACTCTTAATTAGTTTTGATGGTGTAAATTATCGACTAGTATATCGTTTTTAGCCGGGCAAAAACGATAAACTAGTCTAAAAAAATACATCAAAATATAAATATGAGAATTTTGACGTGGAAACCCAAATCGGGAGAAAACCACGAGCCTTTTTTGGCGGTACCTTGCCAACGGGGGATTTTTATTAATATCGGGGGTTGTACATGGTACATGAATTGGGCTCGAAAGCCATTAATGGAAGCTTGGAGCTTCTTTGAAGGAATAAAATACAAAAATACTCTAGAGAGAGAAAGTATAGTGCAGGGAGTAAAGAATGGAAAAATGGCCTCCTCTAACATTGAGGGAGAGCCCTCCTTTTATAGGAGTAGCTGGAGCATCTACGGGAGAATATTCTCTTATTCCTCTATTTTATTAAACATGCCCGGTTTGATTGTTTTTCATAAATATCTGGGAAATGTGGGGCGAGCCACGTATTATTTCCCATCAAGTTTAATTCGACACAAAAGAAAATTAGAATGTATGCTTGAAAATGATGCAACGAGAGAACGATTTGAGTTATTCAATTTTTTTAACAAAGAGATGTCTTCTTTTTGGGACGTCCCAAAAAAGAAATAATGCGTCTTTTTTTGGACATGATGAAGTAATTACGAGCCAAGTAATGAATGAAGAAGTTTCTTTTGGATCCTACCCCCAATAAAGTCCCTAGGCTCTTAGTTAGCCCACGCGGCCCCGAAACAAGTTCTATTGTTAAAAACATACTCTCTCCGTCCTAAAAAGATTGTAAAAAGTACTAATAACTTTTTTTTTGCATTTTCTTCTATTCAATATTTTTCTTTCATCTTACTTTTCTTGATCAAAGTTATTGAAATTTGATGTGCAAAAATTCATATTAATGCATTTGATCAAAATTGCATTATGATATATTCTGAAATGTAGTTTTGAAATATTATATTTTTATAACTCATTGATGGGAACCAAGCCCATCGAGAGAATATTAGCATATTGGGCCTAGGCCCAATCTAGATTCCGTCCATCAAAAGAAAAATTTGGCCCAGAGAAAATATACTGGTCCAGTTAAGAGAAGTTGTCCGTAAGGAAAGATAGAGAAAAGAATAAGATTGAGGCCTGGAGATGGGCTGAGCCCCAGCCCATTATGGACAGGCCACCCAAGAGGAAGGATTCCTACAAAGGAATTAGGGTAAGCCGCCTCTTGAGCGAGGACGGAGACAGTCAGTAAAGGACGGACGAGAGACAGAGAATGAAGGATGGATGGGCAGATTTGTCCTCCAGTGGACGGCTTCAAGTTGAGATACATCCCTCCGGGGAAAGTAAGGATGACCTGAATATCCTCCCCAACCACCGCGAATATTTTGATGAGATAGTGACTGGGGAGCGTCTAAAAGAAGAATGATCTAAGAGAGGAGGGATATCTTGTAATAGAGAGAGAAAATACTTGAGTAATAATAAAAGATATTCCGGCGATCCTTGAGTAGATTCTGATCCCTAAGTGGACCGAATAGAGGAAAGGATCACCAGTTTGAGTTCCTATTCTGTGAGCCATACTTTCTATTACGATCCATTACTATTCTCGTACTGTTTTCTCACTATTATAAGGCCCGGATACTAATATTTGGACCTGGACCGATCTACAGTCCCATGGAAAATATTAGACATCCATCACTCATACTCCGTATATTTTTAGGGAGAAATAAATTCGAATATTTCAAACAGGAATCAAAATGTTTGTGATATTGTATATGGAGTATATACATTATTGATATTATGTGTCATATTTTGAAGTTAGAAAACAAAAGCCTTTTTTTAATTTTTTTTATATTTTATTTCTACTTTAATCATTCTCCTTTTGATGTTACAATAGCATGATCCTTTTCGGAAGCCAAAATTGTAAGAGCGCATTCTGTTCAACTTATTTTTTCACTTATTAGATTAGAAACCAATTTAAATATAACTATAAAAAGATTAGACCAGATCTTCAAAAAATCAGGTCAGACGAACGAAGTAATATTTTGCGATAGGGTCGGCCCACAACCGTTTATTGGGCTTAATTTGACTAACATCTCTAACCAAACATACATAGTTCTAATTTCTAAAGGCCGAATTATGAGCATCCAGCCCATCCAAGAAACCGGGTTTTAGGTCTTCGATTCTCACTTCACTATATAAATCCTCTTCGTCTTCTTCCCCTCCACTGCGCGTTGCAGCAATTACCGGCCGTTTCTTGTTCTTCTTCACCTTCCTTCCATCTAAAAACCTAGGTTAAAGCGACGGCGAATCGCTGTCCGCCTTGGCAGGGTTCGTGAATCGCCTGTCTTGGCCCTACATCTTCTTGTAAAACTTAGGGTTTAGGGGTTGAGAGGTTTAGGGTTTGTAATTTTCCATTTTTTGTCTAGTCCAGACTCAGAAGCATAGAATCTGCATCAATGGCACCAAAGCAGACCAAGGCCGAGAAGAAGATCGCTTACGATGAGAAGCTGTGTCAGTTTCTCGATGAATACACTCAGATCTTGATCGCCGTGGCGGACAATGTCGGCAGCAACCAGCTCCAGAGCATCAGGAAGGGTCTCAGGGGAGATTCGGTCGTATTGATGGGTAAGAACACCATGATCAAGCGTAGCATTCGTGTTCACGCCGAGAAGACTGGGAACTCTGCCATTCTCAACCTCATTCCTCTCTTGGTCGTAAGTGCTCGTACTGTTTAGCTGCTGAATTTAATGGAGTTGATGTTATTTTACATGTTATGCCTTCACTTGTTAAAAGTTTGAACTTGTAATATTTCGAAAATGACATTTAAGCTGCTCCAAAACCTTTTCATTTTTGAAGTTTCAATTTTTTAAACTTTTTAACGTAAGCATAGCATTTATAAAATGCTACTTCGATCGCTTCATTTTTTTCCGGAGAACTAAGTGCCATCTTAGTTAAGTGCTCTGCTGCAACCTATTGCACTCTGTAATTTCTATGCCTGCTCATTTTTTCTCAAATTTCATAATTTTAGATTTTTAGTAGAAATCTATTATTTGGCAGCTTCCATTCAAATCAGAATTTCCTGTTCCATTTTTTTTGAATACTTGCGAGCCATTCAAATTCCATTTCATGTTTTTTAGAGGAAAGAGTTCAAATTCATGTTAGTTTGGCACAGATTTCACTCCAATTGCTAGCACTTGTTTATGGTCATTGTCAGATATGAACCATTTTTTTGCCTCGAAGGGCATTTGGCCCAGCATTTTGGTAGCGTTCATTTTGCATATATATATATATGAGAAAAACTATGTTTCAGTAGAGTGTAGAACTTGATATATTGTTGTTTCTGTAGTTTTCCATACCGGGATTTAAACATTTCAGCTTTTGTTTACATTTTACTAGGGAAATGTTGGTTTGATCTTCACCAAGGGTGATTTAAAAGAAGTGAGTGAGGAGGTTGCAAAATACAAGGTAAGTTTAACACACCCTTCTTTCTTTTATCCTCTTGAATATGTTTGAAAAGTCTTGAGACATTTCTTGATATGATTACCATTTTACTCGTTCCAATACGTAGCCAAGTTAGTTTATGTTTGCAAGATTGTTTTTATAGTTTGAGATTGTGTGGGAATTTCTTGAATTATACAACCTCTTTTAATAATGATGAACCCCACATTGTTGGTTGTGCCTCATTGTTTCATAATGTTTTATCTTCTATTTTTTAATATCTTCTGATTGCATGTGGTGAGTAGAGAAAAGGCAACAATGGAGAATTGTAGAGACTTTGTGGAGAAAAACTGTAAAAAGGGGAATCCTTCTATGGTGACTTATGAATAAGCTCATAAAACTAATTTTTTAAATACTTACAGACTAAGTTGTCCTTGTAATTTTAATATGCAATTCAGTGATTCACAAATGACACTTTCTAATTTGTTAAGTTTTTATTCCTTGACTATATTTAATTTAATTGCATATTTTTATTTTTCCTTCAATTGTACTCCGTATTAGTTTTCAATTTCATGCCACCTAAATTTGTTCTATGGTTTGTATTTCCTTGTGCGCATGTACTTTGAAATAAAGTAGTTTGGAGCTCATATGCAATGTTTGAAATGTAGTTCATCATGCTCATTTCGAAAATAAAATTCTGCAGGTTGGAGCTCCTGCTCGTGTTGGTCTTGTTGCCCCAGTTGATGTTGTTGTCCCACCGGGGAACACTGGTCTTGACCCATCTCAAACATCTTTCTTCCAAGTTCTCAACATCCCCACAAAGATTAACAAGGGTACTGTTGAAATTATTACACCTGTGGAACTCATCAAGAAGGGTGACAAAGTCCAATCATCTGAAGCTGCCCTTTTGGCAAAACTTGGGATTAGGCCATTTTCCTATGGTCTTGTGGTGGTGTCTATTTATGATAATGGCTCTGTCTTTGCCCCCAGCGTCCTTGATTTGACCGAAGATGATCTGCTTGAAAAGTTTGCATTGGGAGTGTCAATGGTGACTTCACTCTCACTGGCCATCTCTTACCCGTCACTGGCTGCTGCTCCACATATCCTCATCAATGCATACAAGAATGTTCTTTCTGTTGCTGTTGAGACAGAGTATTCTTTTGCCTTGGCTGATAAAGTGAAGGAGTATCTTGCGGTAAGTACACATCCTATTTTTAGTGTCAAGTAATTTTTTTCCGTATTGTATCTAGGATCCCTGGGTTGGCTCCCTCTCATATTTAACTTTACTTTCTGACTAGAGATGACCTTAGGTTGTGTCTGTGACCTTTTCACAAAACCAAACCAAAATTCTTCATTTGAACCAACCACAGACAAATCTACCATCTTCTCTTAAACTCAAAGTATACTCCATAATGGCATAATGTGTTCCAACAAAAAGTCTGTTTGACGTCTTCTTCTGTTTTAGGTCTCCCCATAATCATTTTCACTTTGTTTAAAGACTAGAAGGGCTTGTTGGGGGAGCCATATTAGAACCTTTTTGTGGGTGTTTTGTAAAACCGTAAACAGGGGTTGGATCTGATATCTTACTAAATCACGACTTTTCTAAATGGGGGTGTTTGATATTTCTTCAGAGATATCACTGCCGGTACCCTACTTAACAACGATTAAATCATTTTAGATTCAAAACTCACACCACTTTTTTCTAGATTTCAATACTCAACATTCTAATATACCTTATCCAGACTTACCTCTACCTATTTTACATGTGAACCTATTCACTTTAATTTTCACCAAAATCTTGCCTATTCACACCTGTATGCATATTTTCCTTGTAAGGTGCAATATCGTTTGTTACATTTTCCCCAAGAAACATCCTTGTTATTGCCCAAACCTATAGGATGTTTGCATTATAAATCTTGAATCTTTGATGATGCCTTATGCTAAGAATGTTTGAATGAACAATTCAGGACCCTTCAAAGTTTGCTGTTGCGGCTGCTCCTGTTGGTGCTGCAGATGCGGGCTCTGCTCCTGCACCTGCTGCCGAGGAGAAGAAGGAAGAGCCGGAGGAAGAGTCTGATGAGGATATGGGTCTTGATCTCTTTGGTTAAGCTTTGAGCTCTTAGTGTGTTTGGTGTTGGCTCTATTATCTTTATGTGTTATGCCGGAGATTGTCTTTTGTTTCTGTCAAAGTTTTGTTTTTTCAAGTATTGTTGAGACTATGATATTGTCATATTAAATGTTTGGATATTTGTGGTTTTAGTTTTATGTGCCTCACTATAATTTGTCATTTTCAACTGCTATGATTTAGGTTGTGTTTGGGAAAATAGATTTATAAACCAACTTTTCAAGTTTACTAGAGTTCCACTAGGAAGCATGTAAATATGCTCCTTGAACGGACCAAGAAAACTTTGAGTGAATTTATAAGATAAACATATTTTTAATAATAGCCAACGGACCAAAATATTGTCGCTGGCATTGTTCAGTGACTGAAATGAGACGACTGACTAGTAACCACCGTGGTGGCCTTCAAGCCACATCCGTCGTGCTGCCTGTTTTGCTGGTGTCATGCCGTGAAGGGGTGTGACTGGCGATGTTCTTTTGTTGTCATATCAGCTTTAATTTTTCTATAGTTACCTCACAGTTTGAAGCTCGGGAGCTTGAATTTGGGTTTAAAACTTTTAGTTTTTATTTTTTTAATGCACATTTTGTAAAATAAAATTAATACGAGTAAGAATTTACTCCCTCCGTTCTCCAGTTTTTGTCCACTTTTGACTTTTGAAACTGTTCATCTAAGCACTTTGACTCATCAAATTCTCTCAATGTGTAAGCCTAAATATAGTTATGTGTGATCTTATTTGATTTGTTTTAACATATAGATTATTAATATATAATTTCTATAATTTTTTAATATACAAATTACAAGATAAAATGGATTAAAGAAGTGCATTGGATGGTGTGTAAAAATGAAAGTGGACAAATACTCTGGGATGGAGAGAATATTAATTAATTAACGTGATGTATTCAATCAAGATTTCACAGAAATTTAATATCTTGATGTATTCAATTAAGACTTTCAAAAGTACATCTAAATCTTGACGTATTCAATTAAGACTATTAAAAGTTCATATAAATAGGACGGTATTAAAAATTCAATACATTTTCATAGACTTCATCTGAAAATAGATTCTATTGGATTCTACCGTAGTTAGTATAAATAAAATCCATTTACAAATCTCTTCTCACAACCAAAGATTTTGTCTTCCACAAGAACCTTTTCTCCATTCATCTTTTGAAGTCCACTTCTTTAGTTGGTTCAACTTTTTTGGATGGTCTTCGCACCTTTTTTAATCACAACCATATTATAAGAAATTGACTCAGATTATTGCCAATAGATTTTGATTGCAGATTTTGAGGAATCCATTTACAAACTACTCCGTATATTATTGTTGGAAGGGAATATAATCCCCGGCTAGGGTTTTTATAATTGCAGGTGAGTTTTAGCAATATAGTCCACAAATTTTATCTTCAATATTTTGAGGCATGCTCACTCCAATCACCGAAACCATGGATTTATCTTCAATGTAGGCTGCATTCAGCATTTCAATTAGAGAGCATAAAAAAGAATTACTACAAAAGAGAAATCTGAATAATGTAAGAAGATTATAATCTATGGACTTTTTAGAATCTAAATCCAATAATGAAATACACTAAAATCTATCTAATTCTCTATCTAATTCTATGTTGAAATACAACAATCCATAGGTTTTTCATTGGTTATAAAAAATCTAACATAATCTTTAAAAATATGGATGAGATACATCTCCCTAAATTTAAACTACAATAATTCATTAAATAAAAAATTATATTAATAAAAAAAGATTTTAATAATAACAACATAAATAAAATATTAAAAGTTACATTACATTACAAAAAAATTACTAATTATTTGAGCAAATAAAAATATGTTCAATCAAATCTACCGTTAGTACATTGTGAATCTCTTATCTTCGAATTTCTTGGCAGTTTTTTCATTTCGTTTCTTTGTCGATTCTTTCATTTATTGGCTTCGAATTTCATTTCTTCAAATTTCTATAATCTTTAATGAGATTATAGAAATAAATAATGTATTTACCCTTTAAAGTGTTTAATTTAAAAGTAGAGATTTATAATTATCCTAAAATATTTTATTAAAATTAATGTATAATTTAATTTTTAAAAAATAATTATTTTAGAAAAATAATATTGAGTTAAAAAAGAAACATTTTTAGTATTTTCTTAACCAAATCATTGAATGTATGAAAAGTTTGATGCTCCCTCTTTCCTAAATTAAGTTTCATATTTATTGTTTACAATTTCAATTTTTATTCACTTTCTTTCTTTATTTTCACTACGCATTTGATAAAATAATATAGTTATATCAACGATTGTTTTGTAGAACTTTTGATGTGCATTTTAAACATGTAAATTTATTTTTTAATTTCATCTCAATTCTCAAATAAATTATATTAAATATTTTCAATCAAATTTCATAAATCGATATAGATAATAATTTATAAAATATACAGCCAAATTATAAATTTTGATCCAGCCCAATGAATTGACGGGCCTAGCAGACTTCGTAAGTTTCATAGTGTCCGATAAGTCGTCTCTCTCTCTCTCTCTCCGTTACACGCACATTGCCCCCATCTCTGTGTTGGCGGTCAGATCGATTTCTCCGGCAAAAAACCCACGAAAATGCAGGAGAAGAAGGCAGATTCATCATCTTCCAGCAAGAAGAGTGCTAAAAAAGCGAACCTCTTAGATCACGGATCCATCAAGCACATCCTCGACGAGACCGTTTCCGAGGTTCGATTGCTCTGGAATCTCGATTTTGATTTGATTCGAATTCACCTTCTTCCTCATTGTGAATCTGTTTTGTTTATGGGACGGAATGGATTTCAGTCGAAAAGTGATCTGAATTGTTGATTTTTTTTTGCTTTTATGTGTTGTAGATCGTGACGAGCAAGGGCTACACTGAAGATGTGAGGCTGAGCAACGTTAGATTGTTGCTAGGGGTCGTTATCATCACAATCGCCCTCTTCGCTCAGTTCTACAACAAGAAATTTCCAGAAAATCGGAATTTTCTCATTGGCTGCATAATATTATATCCTTTTTCTGATCATTTTTTTTTTCTGAACTGACTTCCATTTCTGTCTTTCTGTGTTTTTGCTTGGTCTTTTTTATCAGTGAGAAAATTGTTTACCAAATTTTACTTGTAATCTGTGTGGTATAGGATAGGAAATGGGTTACCCTTTTGAGGATCATTCATCTGAATCATGATACAAGTAGTTTTGACTGAAAATTTAACTACTTCTGTGGTTGGGCTTTCTATATGTTTAATCTTGACTATGGCAAGTATGTTATAGCCAATGCGGTTCTGCAGCTGATAGTTTACACCAAGGAAAAGAATGCCATTCTGTTCACTTATCCTCCAGTTGTAAGTTGCAGTACTTTTCTGTATACATGCTTATATGACTTGCCATAATTTGAAGACAATTACATCCTCCCTACAAAAATGGTTCCACAGTTGAACCGGCACTGTTAATAACAAAGGTGAAACTGTTTGACTAAAAGTGATGCAGAGCCCTTAGTTTGCTCTTTGTGTTCATGCTTTGTGTGCTTTCTTTGGTGCTTGAGTCAAGGGCCTCTTGGAAACAATGTCTCTACTTTCAAGTAGGGGTAAGGTCTTTGTACACACACCCTCCTAGACCCTACTTTGTGGGATTATACTGAGTTGTTGTAGAAAGTGATGCAGAGGAGACTCGGGACCCAGGAGATAGAAATACTATGAGCCACCATTTTTCATGATGTGCAACCTTTATGGGACATGAGTACTATTTTTGTTTTTATTTTTTTTCCTCATTATATATTGGTAGCACATTTCTATTTTTTCTGTTTCATTTTGATGCGTATATCTGATTCTATTGAAGAAAAAAGCTTTATGCCTATTGTATCTTTTTACTCACATTTTTCCAAAGAGTTGTCGCATTTATCTGCTCATAGAGTCGTAGACACACCTAGATTATATTAAAAGATTCCACACATGTGTAAGTACTAACACTCCGTATTTAAAAAAAGCACAACTCATGGGCGATATCAAAAGTGTCAACCCTTAACATACTATATTAATTCAACAGATCTGAATGATATATATCAGTTTCCTTAAGCATACTAAGAAACTGATTTCAGTATTAGTTGATAGAATATAGTGTTGGTATCAGTTCTATTTGACTCATTATAGGGTTCTGCTCTTCTGCTTACCGAATTATTCTTTCTTGTTGGGTTGGTGGTATCAGTTCTATTTTATTAAGACATTGTATTACTGTATTAGTAAGTAGCCAGAAGCCTACTGATAATATCCCAAGTGTTAAAGGCACAGCTTGTGTAACTAGTAACTTGTTGTACATCTATACTTGCGATGCTGCTTGCACTATTCTCCCCTTCATTCAGACAAGGTTCGAACACCTCAAGAGCCACATAGTTTCTTTTTTGATTCAAAGATTAAAAACTTTATTTTCTCTTTGGTTCATTTGCTCCAGAGCATCAGTATCCCCTGCCATTTGATCTCCTTTATCTTATTTGAACAACCTTTCCTTATTTTATGCAAGCAAAAATTTAGAACTTTTCTTTGAAGAATAAAACTTTTAGTTGTGCCTTATGTATATTCTCCTTCTGTGTATGATTGATAATCTGCTTAAGACCTTAAGTAATGTGGTTTCTGAAGAACTGTTTGCATACAGTTTAAAGCTTATACCTCATCTCACAAATGGAAAGCACGTGAGGATTCATGCACCCGCGTAGCTTTTAGCATCTAGGCAACCGGATATTTACTACTACGGAGTAGTATTTTGTATGTATTGATATAGTACAACAATCTGAGATTTTATCAAGCATTATAGCAAAGAATGCTGGTGTATAACTTTTTCCTCCTGTCTTAGAACATCATAGGGCTTGTTTGGATGTGCCCTGATTTTGAGTCCGGCATAAATTTCAAGTCTATAATCTTGAATCTGTTTTTTGTGGTACATGAATTAAGTGATAACTTTGAGTTATTTTACTCTAAAACTCAAGTTTTTTTAGTCATAGCAGAGAGTTGCATTACACTCATGTGGTCTCAAATCAACCGGGCTACCTCTTTTCTATCCCCGTTCATGACCTCCATTGCCATCCACCTCTTCGTCAGCTCCTCTAGCCTCCCCTCTCCTCCTCCCCCACCTTCCCCATTCCACTGCCACCTCTTACCTCCTCGCCCATTCCCCTCCCCCTCTCCACCTCCTACCTCCTTGCCCTCTCTCTCTCTCTCTCTCTCCTTTTATTATACCAGTAGTATAGCTGAACAATATTTACTTTCCCCTAATTCTTCAATCAAAATGTGTTACCTTTGTGGGCACTGAGCAGCATGTTTAGGACACTCTTCTATAGTGATCTTGTTGGTTGGATCATATTGTTGATCTCTCAGTATACCAATTTTTGCTAGTGAGATGCATGCTTGTTCACATGTAGGCTGAGATCAAATTGACATCAAGACTTGAACTATTTTTTCCTCTCCTTTACAAAGGAGAAAAGAACAACACTCTTTGTGTTGAAGTCCCACAATGTGGGACTAGTGAGAATAGAAACAATATAACTTTTCCTGTGCGATGTTTGCTAGTTTTCATTAACAGTACTCATTCCTCCCAAGCAACAAAGTTCTGAAAAAACACTTTCAAATGTTTAGGAAGTATTCTAGAGTATTGCTTTAAAAATACACTACATGCCAATTTTTTTATATATGATCACCCCAATGAAACCTGTTTACTTAACTATATTATTGTAAAATTCCCTGATACGCTCTCGAGGGTGTCTAGCCTTTTATTCCTTCTTAGGTCCTACCTTACAGTCTTATGGCTGCCTAGCTCCTTGTACTTTATTGATTAGAAGGTCATTATCCTTTTTTTTTTTTGCTATCCAAAGAACTATGACCTCTGTAAAAGTAGTTACACACATTACTGGTTGAGCCTCATATTATTATTCCATAATCTAGAGGCACAATGGGAAGATATTGAATTTGGTAGTTCATGGTTAATGGACTTTTAAGAGATTTGATCTTTTTTTCTTCTTCCAGGGATCTTTCAACAGTACTGGCTTAGTGGTGTCCTCAAAGCTGCCTAGATTCTCAGATATGTACACACTGACAATAGCAAGTGCAGATCCCCAGTCAATCTCCGCAAAATCTCCTGTGGAGATCACAAAGAGCGTTACTCAATGGTCAGTCTCTCTTCATGTTCTCCTCACCCATGTATGTTGCAAACATGTGCCATATTTACATAATAAAGAAATCTTATCAAATTATTTCTGCAAATTTAATTATAATTATATATTAGCTTTGCATAAAAGTGATAAAACTCAAGATTTGCAAGAAATCCTTGAAAATTAAATATTTACAAATGCACTCACGTTCTCGTGCCCTGTGTTCCTAAGTCCCTCTATGTGCATTAGGCCCCACTGCGCCCCCCTGAAACGCTCTACTAATGAAAAAAAGGCGGGAAATGTTCTCTCTGTCATTTACATGGTGGGTTTTAGTTTGAAATACGGCATGAATTTTACAGGTTTACAAAGGATGGAGTTCTTGTGGAGGGGATCTTTTGGAAAGACGTTGAAGCACTAATCAATGATTATGCCCAAGAAAGCAAAAAGAGCAAGTGATAGAGTCTCGTAGCCAGCGCGGAGATAGAAAGCATCTTGTTGGTAGCACAATGATGTACGTTCGAATATTATTTCTTTTGCTTTGATGCAATCTTATAGTTGCGGTAAAAACTCGAGACCCACTTTTTTCAGACTGTCACCGTGGGGTGAGACTTGAGAGTTGGAGTTACACTTGGGGCAACTCAAGCTCCCTTAATCCATAGCACTTTATTATCATGGATACATCTAGTTATAAGAAAAATGCTAAGTTCACCCCAAATCTTATCCCACTTTTCATACTAACATTTTCACAAACATTGGATAGTAATGGTGTCCATGGATATTTGGAACTAACTTATCAATGTGACACTGTGACATGCAAGCTCAACGGGACCCATAACGATGTCCATGGATGCCATTGGGCTTGCGTGTTTCATTGATTTGCGTCCTATTGGGCTTGCTTTACATCTGGGCTGTCGTGGTCGTCATCTTTTTACATGTGAGTTGATCCTCATTTACGGGCTGGGTGGTCCGACTCTTTTTATGCAGGCCTGCCACAAGATGTTTGGGCTATAGCATCTTGGATCTTATTATGATTTATATAGATGAATTTGATCGGGTATATTAGGCATATTTCTAATATACTCCATCAATATGCATTGTAATTCTTATTTAATTTATCAAAATTTGTCTATTTTGGGCCTTTGCATAAAAATATTTTGTAATAATATTTTCTTTACCCTAAATTATAGATTTAGTCAAACTAACAATATTATATTCTTAATATATTTGGACAAAATTAGAAAGTAACAGAATTTGGACAACAATAGCTCATACTGTAATCGATTAGTGAAGTACAAATGTTCTTGACTTTTTAAAGGTTTTAATTTGTCACAATTAAGATATCCTAACACCAATGGGGTTTTTGGGAGACTTTAGGTCTACATTTTTATTTGTGGACTTTCTCACATAAGAAGTATTTTTTAGTTCTTTTTTTCTCTTTTTTTTTCACAAATAAAGAGTGAAATTTACATTGGTTGGAACATTTAATTTCATATATTTTTGAGTTTTGTTTTGTAAATACACTGACATTGAATGTCATGGCTTGTAGACATCGTTTTTTTTGCTATATCACTCCCATGTTGTACTTATTTTGTAGAAACAAGGACATTAAACATTGTAGACATTTTTTTTGTAAAAACAGAGATATTAAACGTTGAGGCTCGTGGATGTTATTTTTTTTTGTAGAAACAAGGACATTAAACACTATGAGCATTACTTTTTTTGTTGTTACAAGCCACAAGGACATGGACCACCATCTTTTTTGCATGTACAAACAAGGAGATCAAACGTGGTGTACATTGTTTTTTGAACAAATAAGGTCATTGAACACCGTGGACATTATTTTAAAAAAAACAAGGACATTGACCATCGTGGGCATTTTTCTTTTTAGTAGAAACATGGACATTGTTTATTTGTGGAAGTAAAGACATTAAACGTCATGAACATTAGTTTTTGTAGAAATAAGAATATTGAATATATTGTGCATATTGTTTTTTAATACAAACAAGGACATTGAACTACGTGGACATTGTTTTCTTTAAAAAAAAAGATATTGACTGTGACATTATTAATTATTGTAGAAACAACGAAACCAAACCAATTAGATTGTTCCTTTTCGTTGGGCTTCCATGATATTTTGTCATGCACAAAAATTTGGGACTTTTCAAGTACGTGAGGGAATTTTAGTCAATCTATCGACACTGTGTTTTTTAATATAGCACTTGTGCTATTTAGGAAAAGCTACATTGTTTTAGAGTCATATAGATAAGTTTCCCTTATAGGTAATTTTCACAAATAAAAATGCTTGTCAATAAGTATTTGTTTACGATCCTTATATATAAAAGTTCATATGAAATACTGTAGATTTTAGATGTACAATATGCAGTAGCACTTACCTAAATTAAAAGTGACTCTTTAACTTTTACATTTAAATTTTTATTAAATTTCTTTAATACTTATTCATGCATTGTAATGTTTTATAATATGAAAAAATTAAAATTTGAAAATTTATGTCAATTATTAAAATGAAGAGTATTTTCATATTATGCCCTTTTACAGTATATGAATGATTAGCAATCAAAATTGATGAAATTTGATAGAAATAGTCATATTGTTACATTTAATTGAGAAGAGAGAATGTTTTCTTCAATCTTACAGAAAATTACTAAAAGGTTCCAAAACTGAATCTACATAATTATTAAAAATATGAAATTATGTTAATAGAAATGATATTGAAGAGAGAACTAATATAGGCTAAAAAAAATATTTTACATAACTTGGAAGTGAAATTTCTTTTAGAGATGAATAAAAAAATGTAGATTTTTTTTATTGGAGGAAGAGTAATTTTTTGTGTGAAAATATAGGAAATCAATTGTGGGGGGAGGAATGATAAATTTAGTGTACGTTTTTGTGAAAGGAGGACCATCTTGTCCCTTGTCACCATGCCCCCAGGACTTTAGGTAAGGGAAAATAAAAATGTTTATGGTACACTACAACAACAACAACAAATTAGTAAATTATATTCTAATCCCTCCGTCCTTAAATATTTGTCACACTTGTATTCTCCACGTAAAATATCAAGCTTTTTCAATTCGTTTTATTAAATATTGATATAGAAATAAAAATTAAAATTTACCTATCCAAAAAAACTACATGAAAAGTTTTTCGAAATAAGAGGTGTCAAGAATATTTTATTTTATCAAATAACCAATGAAAACGTAAGCAAAAGTTCTCGTGACTGCTGGAAAAGCAAATGTTGCATATATTTAGAGACGGAGGAAGTAATTTATACACCAAATTATGTACACCATACATTTTTTGGTGTGAATAAAAAATTAAGGAACAAATAAAAATGTATGGTAAAAAATTATTGAACGATAGCGTTTAGCTTAAATTTTTTCAAAGTTACTGGATATCATTCAAATACAATTTATATCAATAAAGTTTTATGCTAAGTCTCATTTCCCTAGCATAAAACTTTATTGATATAAATTATATTTGAATGATATCAAGTAACTTTGAAAAAATTTAAGCTAAGCGCTATCGTTCAACATTTTTTTAAATACTAATTCTAATATCTAACGTTGTGCGCAATCGACTCTTGTACTATTTTCTTTTTCTTCTTTTTCTAACTAAATTGCATTCATATATTTTTTTTTTAATGCTATTGACTCTATTACAAGGTAATATCTGTTCATACTATTCTCAAGCTAATGACTAATGACGCACAAAGAGCCAATGCTGCTGCCTTCGCTGGGGCTCGAACCTGGGTGAACTTCCCCATGAATCCTGAGGAGTGGGCTTGCTACCACTCAAGCCAGGGGAGAAGTTCGCATTCATATATTTTTATTTGGAGCATTTTTAAACAAATCAAATTTGTAAATGATATATGCAAAACTTTTCCATGAAAAATCAAAACTTTGGACATTTTTTTTTCTTTTTTTTTTTTTTGACAAAAAAAACTTTGGACATGATAAGCATCAAAATTTTTTCATTTCAAAATAATTGAATACGGAATTACGGAGGAGCAGAGCAGTTATAATTATAAATCATGCCACTGTGAATCTCCAAACCTTAATCAATCCCACATCGCCACGTGTCCCCATCCAATAGCCCTCATTTTAGCTCTCCGAGAACTTCCCCCAACTCCTCTCCACCGCATAGCTCGCCGCCTTCTCCTTCTCTCCCCTCCCTCCTCCGCCGCCGGAGACACCCTTTCGTCTTCACCCTCTCGCCGTCCGATCTGTCTCCCTCTCCGTTTCCCGAACTCCAATTCTCAAGGAACACTCTAAATCTTGAATCTGTTTTTTTCCCGGTTTTTGCGCCGGGTATGGAGGACGGCGAGGCCAAGAGAATGGCCGCCGCCTCCGCTGCTTCCGCCGCGTGCGACGCCGTATGGGATCGAGTGATACCGTACATTCAGGACCCGCGGGACAGGGCGTCGGTGTCTCTGGTGTGCAAGCGGTGGTACGACATCGACGCCATCACGCGCAAGCACGTGACGATGGCGCTCTGCTACACCGCCACTCCGCGCCAGCTGTCGCGCCGCTTCCCCCACCTGGAGTCGCTCAAGCTCAAGGGAAAGCCACGCGCCGCCATGTTCAACCTCATCCCGGAAGATTGGGGCGGCTACGTCACTCCCTGGGTCAAGGAAATCGCGCGTTCTTTCCGGCAGTTGAAATCCCTCCACTTCCGCAGGATGATTGTGGGAGATTCCGATCTGGAGATTCTGGCCAGCTCCCGCGCTAGGGTTCTTCAGTCTCTCAAGCTCGACAAGTGCTCTGGATTCTCCACTGATGGTCTCTTGCATATCAGCCGTTCTTGCAGGTAAAAATTGAATCTTGTTTCTTTTACTGTAATTTCTTGGCTCTTTTACTGCAATTTCTTGTCCTGAAAATTGAAGTGTTCAGTTTCTTGGGTTTGTAAGTGTGATTTACTGTTCTGGTTGGAGTGTGGTTAGTTTCCTTCTTTGCCAAAGGGGGGATAATTATCTTAGCTTTTCATAAATTGCTATTATTAGGAAAAAGTTTAATGGATTAATGATTGCTAATTATAGTACTCATTGTTTCATATGCTTTTCTTCTTTCATTTAATTTCTTGGTGAATATGATTATCCTTTAGTATGGGTCTTCAGTTTCTTGGTTCTTTAATGTGAATTCTTGTTCTGTAAATGCTAGATAGAAAGTATGTCTGGATGGGGTGGGGTAAGTTTCATAAGGATATTGGGCTTTTCATAAATTTCTATAAGTAGCAAAACTTTATTGGATTACTGGTTGTTATACTATGGCTTGTTTCAGATTTTTTTAAAAAAAAAACTTTCAATTATCATCAGCTTAAGTAGTTAAGTATGGATCTTTAGTTTCTTGGCAATTTAGTGCAACTTTTTGTGCTGTAAAATTCTCTCAAGGCTGTTTGGTTTGGTGGTATTAGATTCTTTGCTAAAGAGGGAAAATTGTCTAGCCTTTTGATAAGCTTCTATAAGCCTATAATTAGCAAAATTTTACTGGGTACTGGTACTGAATTCTTTATATTTGCTTTTTTTTTGTGTGAACTCTTCAAAAAGGTCGTCTAGGTGAGGTGGGGTTAGTTTCTTTACCAAATTCTTTTGGATGCTGGGTTAATTGTAATGGGTTTTCATTAATTTCTATAATTAGCTATGTTTTCTTTATTAGTGATTACTGAAATGGCATTACTGATTGTTTCAGTTTTCTTTCTTCCTTTCAATTTCTCTTTGTTGAGTTCTATTTGGTGGGATTTAATTTGGCTAAATTATGTTTTCTTTTCTTTCAATTTAGATGTTCTTGGTGAACTATCATTGTCTTGTGCATGGGTCTCTTGATTTTTGGCTCTTTAGTGTAAAATCTTGTTCTCTAAATTGATTAGTTTTATGTTCTTGATATATAGTGCTAATTGTATATGCTTTTCAAAAATTCCAATAATTAGCAAAGTTTTAATGGATTCAAAATTAGTGTACTTTGCAAAGTTTTTTTTCTTTAGTTTCTTGGATCTTTAATGTGGTGGGGGATAGTTTCTTTGCAAAAGAGGGAAACTTGGCTAATTATATATGCTTTTTCATACATTTCTGCAATTAGCATAATTCATTACATTACATCTAATAATACACCAAGGTTCATTTGACACCACCCCCGTGCTCTGTTGAACTCCGAAGTTGTTCCTACCCCCTACCCCCCCCCCCCAAAAAAAAAAAAAAATCATCTACCAACCTTTTCCCCAAAAAAGATGACTTACATTTGTATATTGTTTTTTTCTCCACATTTTTTCTCAAAGGAACCTAAGAACTTTGGTTCTTGAAGAGAGCACTATAGTTGAGAAGGATGGGGAGTGGCTTCATGAGCTTGCTGTGAACAACAAAGTTCTTGAAAATCTAAACTTTTACATGGCAGAGCTTTCCAGAGTATCACCTGAAGACATTGAACTGATTGCCAGGAACTGCCCAAACCTTGTGTCCATGAAAATCTGCGAAACCGACATGTCTGCCCTTTTCGGTTTCTTTCGGGCAGCAGCCTCCTTGGAAGAGTTTGCGGGCGGTGCGGTTAGCGAGCAACCGGACCTCATTGGACCGTACACTGATGTCAAGTTTCCTCGCGGGCTTTGTTCTCTTGGGCTTACGTATTTGGGCAAAAACGAACTGCCCATTCTCTTGCCCATCGCTTCCCGCCTCAAGAAGTTGGATCTTCTTTATGCATTTCTTGACACAGAAGGGCACTGCTTCTTGCTGGAAAAATGTGTCATCTTGGAAGTCTTGGAGGTCAGTTGGAGGGCAATTTAGTCATTCTAAATCCCTCTCTTTTTTTCTTTCTTTTTTCTTTCTTATTGATGAAAACCACTAATATATAAGAATATGAGTTACTCTTCTAATTGTCAGTGGGTTTTGGGTTGGAATGTCATAATTCAATGCTTTATTTAACAGGCAAGGAATGTAATTGGGGACAGAGGATTAGAAGTGGTGGGAAGGTGTTGCAAGAGGTTAAAGAGGCTGAGGATCGAGCGAGGAGCCGACGAACACGGAATGGAAGACGAAGAAGGGTCGGTGACTCAGAGAGGACTCATTGCATTATCCGAAGGCTGCCCGCAACTCGAATACTTGGCCGTATATGTCTCGGATATTACGAACCAAGCGTTGGATTCCATTGGGTATCACTTGAAATGCCTCTCCGATTTCCGGTTGGTTCTTTTGGATCGCGAAGAGAGGATCACGGACCTCCCGCTCGACAGCGGGGTCCGCTCGCTCTTGAGGGGTTGCTGTTTGCTTAGGAGGTTCGCCTTGTATCTCCGGGCAGGTGGGCTGACCGACGAGGGGCTGAGGTATGTGGGCCAGTACAGCCCAAACGTGAGGTGGATGCTGCTCGGGTACATCGGGGAGACGGACGACGGGCTTCTGGAGCTCTCCAACGGGTGCCCGGCGCTACAGAAGCTGGAAGTGAGGGGATGCTTCTTTAGCGAACGGGCGCTCGCTATGGCTTCATTGAGGATGAGGTCTCTGAGGTACTTGTGGGTCCAAGGGTTTCGCTCGACCCAAACCGGGCAGGATTTGTTGCTCATGGCCCGCCCGTTTTGGAACATTGAGGTCATCCCCGCCCGACAGGTCGCTTCCGCGGGCAACGATGGGCAGACCGTGGTCGCCGACCATCCTGCCCACATACTCGCGTATTACTCGCTTGCCGGACGGAGGACGGATTTCCCGGACACTGTCCGTTGTCTTGACACCAACAACACTGGTTATGGATTTGTGTGAATGTTAATATTACTTAGTATTGTGAAGCCTTTTTTTTTCTTCAAAGAAAGGGATTTGCCACAGTTGTGTTTGCCACAAATACCACTTTTGAAATGTGTAATCCATTTTGAAGGGGAAAAGAAATAAAGAAGAACAGTTTCTTTGTCTTGTACAATCTGGTGATTTTATTGCTCTTTTCTTTTTATGTGGTTTTTCTTAGGTGCAGTTTGGTAAGACATAATGAAATGCATCTGTTTTGGAAATATAAACCCGAAATATATTCCGTCACGTTTCATAGATTTACCGAATTGTATGTGGCATATTGCGACAATAGAGCGACACCATTAATGACATCAAGGTTGACATTGTTAACATCATGTGTAACACATAAAATGAGTGTGTTAACACCAAGGTTGACACTGTATATAGGACATTGGGAGTGTCAATATTGTTGTGAAACAGAGGAAACAAAATCTATTATTAATGCTTTTAACTATTTGTATGATTACATGTACTTAGATTGTTTTTTTATTATTTATATCATAATAATAAAGAATATACAAACACAATTGACAGCCCATTTTTTAAGCCAAACAGAAAGCCTTAACCAAACCAATCAAGAATCCACATTCATTTTATTCATACATACAATTCAAACCCCATAATTTTTTTTTGGTCTGTTCATTTAAGTGACAAAATCAGCATTGAGGGAGATCACTTGGAGGAGGAGGGAGAGATTGATTGGGGCCCTCACCATTTTCCACCAAAAATGCCATCTTTAGCCCCCATGTTGTATGAACCTCCAAATGACAATGCAAAAACCAAACACCTATGCACACACACATATATAGCATTTGAATTTAAGTCACAAATTAAATCAGTGTAAAATAAATAAATAAATAAATAAATAAAAATGATTTATATTCTTACCAGGATTATCAGCTCTGAATCTGATGGCAGCCCAACCAGCAGTGGGCACATTCAGTGTGTTCCTTTCAACAGGATCAACCAGGTTGAATTTGCCAGGGTCATTTTGGGGATCAAAGTTCCCAACCCCTCTCCCAACAACATAAAAGTTGAAGCCATGCAAATGTGTTGGGTGGCTCTCTGGTGCAACCCCAGAAGTCCCTTGTAACACAACCTCAACACTGGAGTTGAACCCCAGCCTGTAAACCTTCGTGCCGTTCCGCGTGCCCGTGTTCCTCGGGGGCCTGCCCGTGTAATTATAAGGAACCGGAGGCCTTCCCGGAAAATTGTCCGTGAAAACTCCGCTCATGTTGTTGTAGTGTGCCTGGAGGAGGGCTGTGCTTGGCATTACAAAGCTCACATTGTTTATGTGTGCAACGTATCGGGTTCCATTCGGGCACGACAGGCACGGGTTGATACCGACCCCAATCGTGAAGATCAAGGAGTGGTCGACGCTTTGTGGGACGTTTGTAGGGTACGCTCTCGAGTTTAGGCTCCTTAGTGAGTCCAAGAAATTCGTCGTCACGCGTGTTGCGTTCCGCAGGGGCATTTTCGTCAACGTGATGTTGGGAAACGCCCGAGTTTCTTTGTACCTTAGAGTACCTGTTGAAGTAAGGTTATTTTAATGAGGAAGGGCGTATTATACTACTACTTCCGTTCCATAAAACCCTTTCCTTTTCGTTTTTTTCCAATTTTCTAAAACACTTCTATTTTCTATTAAAAAACCACTTTTACCCCTACTTTTTCATGCCCTACCTATCACATGATATTTTTCACTAATAACCAAACTATCACATCTTACTTTTACCAATCATATCAGGGGTAAAATTGGAAAGTTAACCAAAATTACACTTTCCTTATTCTGGCTCAAAGTCAAAATGGGAAGAGTTTAAAGGAAGGGAGAGAGTATTATATAGTACTCCCTCCGTCCTATAATGATCTTCCCAGAGCACTATTCCAACTTCACGGGAATTTATATTTATTTGTGTTTTTTCATGGCCTATATGATAAAATAAAATATTCTTGTCACCACTTGTTTTGTTGAACTTTTGGTGTAGTTTTTAAATATGTATGTTTTATTTTTTATTTCTATACCAATATTTAAATAAAATAGATTGAAAAAACTTGAGATTTTTCTTCGTTTTGCGAACCGGGAAGATCATTATAGGACGGAGGGAATATCTTCATCCCAGTGTACCATTCTAATTTTGACCTTTTGACATCAAAATTGACAAGTTTTGACCAGTAATTAAATGATTTTAGTTTTAGATATTGATAAAAAAATAATTTACTAGATTTATTTTATAAAACATTTTCAAAGTATTATTTTATCTTATTAATATACTGCATAATTTTTGTTTAATTAAAAGTCAATGACTGAAAGTGGTTGACTCCAAAACGTTAAAACTGAACAAATACTCAAAGAAGGAAGTAGTACTATATTGGACTAATGTGCAATTTTGAACCGTACCGGTTGTGGTTTGGTCATCGATGGGTATGGCGGTGTCCATGAAAGGAGAAATGGCTATGCGGTATCTGCCCGGATTCTGGTTTGCGGTTAGAAGCGCATTTACGGACTGACCCGGACCGGTGAAAATCGTGTCGGTCTGAAAGGGTTTAACGTAAGTAGCGTCGACCTCGACCACGGTTAACTTGTGGCCCGCAATCCTTAAAAACAGCTCGTCGTTTACCGCCGCGTTCACGATGCGCAACAAATACGTTTTCCCGCTCTCCACTTCCAATGTGTAGCCTGCAATGTATGAACCCATTAGATAGCCATTAACCTCCTCGGTAAACCCCCCACCATGCGCTGGCCCGAGCACACCCCTCCCCCCCACCCTTCAATTGAACCCGCCAAGTTAATTTTGACTTGAGAGTCAAAATTTGACTCTAAAATCAAAATTAACTTGGTGGTGCAATTGAAGGAGGTGGGAGGATGTGTTCTGGTCGGGGCGGGGTGGGGGGTTACCAGAGTGGTTAGGGAGCGTAGAAACTGTCAATTTTACGAACGAGACATCATGATGGGAACCGACCTCTTAAGAATATACTTATATACTCCATTAGATAACCTTTTCAAAATATTGGTAAAGTTTTCAATTACCCAGTTATCTTCTACCAACAGCCGACGATAGAAGTAAATAGATGTCAAAATAAAATAAAAATTACTTGGTCCGTCCTGAGTGTTTGTCCACTTTTGACTTTTGAAACTGTTCATCTAAGCACTTTGACTCATTAAATTCTCTCAATGTATAAGCTTAAAAATAGTCATGTGTGATCTTGTTTGATTCGTCTTAACATATAGATTATTAATATATAATTTTTATAATTTTTTAATATACAAATTACAAGATAAAATGGATTAATCAAACGCAGAAATGTTTTTAATTTTTTATATGCTAGTATTACTCTATAGTACGGAAATAATCTTATCGAATTAATCAAACGCAGAAATGTTACTCCCTCTGTCCTAAAATTTTCTTCTCAATCCGATTTATGAGATTTGGCCGAAATTATTTTTAATTCAATTTATTTGATTCTAGGTGTAAAATTAAAAAATAAAAAATATATTTTCAAAAACTACATCAAAAGTTATACAAAACAAGATGTGACATGACTATATTATTTCATCAAATAACTAAAGAGAATAGGTAAAGAAATTGATTAAAGTTTGACCATGTGATTGAAGAGTGTCTGGAAAGAAATGTTTAAGACGGAAGAAGTATGTTTTTTCCTATACTTTTTTTAAAAATTAAATGAGAAACGTAGTTGAGACGTAAAAAGTTAAACTGAGCAAATGACATTTAAATACATAAATAGTAAGTTTGTTTATTTTGTGACCGAAGTGTTTGTGATTCTACCATTTCTCTTTCAGGTAAGAATAATATTTACTCGTTTTGTTTCATAATTTTTTTTATTTTTTTTTTATTTTTTTCTTAGAGTAATTTATAAGTATCTTTTTTTGGAAGTAATTTATTACGGAGTACTTATTAGTACCTTTTTTGGAACAGTTAGGAGTAGGTCCAGGGAGGCCATTAATAGTGTGAGCATCTGATACTTTTGGGGGAATCCCCAGTCTCATTGCATTATTGATCATATCTTCAACATCTAATTTCCACCACTCTCCTGTCCATTCATACAAAATTTATCAATTCAAAAAAAAACAAATTAGTCATGCTTAATCCGGATTTGACCCAGAGGCTAGAGACAATATAATACTAATATTAATAATAGTTGGGGCAAACAGTCCTAAGAAAGAATGGGTTTTAGGACACAAAGTGTGTATCATTTACAAAATTACGTTACGACAACAGTTTCAACATTTAATTTTAACGTGCTCAAAGTGAGTCCGTACCAATTAAAAATCATTCAAAATTCCCACGTTATTTGAAACATTACGTTATGCAACAGAGACAGAGAGAGTAAATTAATGGCAACCAGTCCTAAAAAATAGTGCCTGTTAGGAAACAGTACCAACGTTTTCAAAGTAAGTCTGTACCAATTGAAAAATATTCAAAATTCTAACGCTAATAAAAATATTGTTCCCAAACGAGGTCACTGGTTATTAGCACGTACCTAAGAGTAAGATTTTCTCCTTATAAGGCTTAGGAAAGGGGTAAGGAAGGCCGCGTTTGGGGAGTATGACAATTGCACCATAGACAGTAGACCTTTGCCAATTGATGTGTGCATGCCAAAACAGAGTCCCCCTCTGCCCTGTGACTGTGAAGTTGTACACAAATGTTTGGCCTCTCTGGATTGGGCATTGGGTTATGTACGCTGGCCCGTCCGACCACCCGGTCCGAAACTGCCTCACTCCGTGCCTGATGACAAACCATCGGTCAATTTCGAAACGGGTGATTTAGAAATATTACAGTACAGTCAGAGTACTGTATTTCGAGAGACCAGTATACCAGTGAATTGAAACGTTCTGTTGGACTTGGTTGGATACCCTCACAAGAACCGTGTCGTCTTCTCTTGCGTAGAGAGTGGGCCCCGGGAACTTCCCGTTTACTACCACGATTGGTTTCCACGCGCACAACCTCGTCGTGTTCCTCATCACCACCTGCCCCATACATATAAATATCAAACGATTAACATATGGGTGTTGCTATATCAACGCTCATCATTTTGACCAAATCCACTCCAATCATGCAAAATTTACCATTTTACCCTTATAAATATGAATGAGAGACTTTAGATGCTAACCAAATCTTAAGGGCAAAGTTGTCCTTTCAACATAAATTGCGTGGATTTAGCCAAAACAAGAGTAGTATCGTACCGGTTCCAATATACTCATCAGGACCGGTCACGCACATACCGTGAAGTTGTAACGTCGAACCATAGAGTCGACGGACGTGGGAAGAAGAAGGCAAGCTGCGAATACAACGAGCACTCGACTTGCAACCATGGTGTCTCTTCTCTTTTACTACAACAAATCTTGATCTCTATATATGTATACTCTCTATATCTCTTATAACTAATTTTTTTTTTAAAAAAAATGTTTGAATGTTTGTATAGTATGTGTAAAATGAATAGAAGAGAAATGCACCATCTAGTGATATAAAGGATTTGCATGCAATAAATATATAAATATCAGATGGAGTGTCATTTTAACTTGGAGTAGGTGAGTGAGAAAAGGTGCGCATAATCCATGCAATATTTGAGGGGTTTTCTTCCATTTTAAATAAATGTTTGTGTAACTATAAGTTGATTTTGCCCAGATACTAAAGTTCCAATTACTATAACTGCTGTGAGAGGACCAAGCTCCTATGAAACCTACATCTCACCTAATTTTTATATTTCCCCTTTGTTTCAATGTTGCACAAAAAATTATTATTTCACTTTTTTTATTTGAATGCCTTAAAAAACTAAGGCTTGTACTTTTTCTTTTAAAAGTTACAAATAAAGAAATGTTCCAAGATACGAATAAAATGTCAGATATTATATTTATCCCCAAAATAAGAGTTTTCCAATGTGAATGGTGACAGTTCTTTTGACATTGATTTTAATATCATTTTATGTCATTGTTCATATACGATAATATATTTGGCCCGAAAATAAATTTTACTCCATAGCCCCTAATCCTCGCTTACCCTCGCCCACCTCCTCAGTCCCCCCCAACTACACCACTAAAATGAGTTGACATACACTCTGCTCAAATGTTTGAACAAAATGTTGTAACGTCTCCAAAACCGACCTTAAATCAATGACGATGTTAGAAAATAAATTTATTTAACAAAATAAATTAAGATCTAAATGAGAACAAGTAATTGTATAAAAACATTGGTGTTGAGACTCTAGGTTTCAAATATTAGATTGACATAATTAACTTTTAGAATATATATATATATATATATATATATATATATATATATATATATATATATATATATATATACTCCCTCCGTCCCGCTATATTCGTCCACTTTTGACTTTTGGAAATGTTCATCTAAGCACTTTGACTCATCAAATTCTCTCAATGTGTGAGCCTAAATATAGTCATGTGTGATCTTGTTTGATTTGTCTTAACATATAGATTATTAATATATAATTTCTATAATTTTTTAATATACAAATTACAAGATAAAATGGATTAAAGAAGTGTATTGGATGGTGTGCAAAAATGAAAGTGGACAAATACTCTGGGACGGAGGAAGTGTGTGTGTGTGTATATATATATATATATATATATATATATCCTTTAATATAATAAAGGAGACTCGGATTCACGAGAATGCGACATTTGGCATGCCTATTTGGCAAAAATTGAACACGTCAGCGATGATTCCTTCTATGGCAAAAATTTAAAAAATTTATTTCCTTATATGGGATTCGCTGTATGATTCCTAAATCCTTGGCTGAAGATTAGGGATTTCCGTATGTGAGAAATCTATCGCGAGATGAAGCCTTCGAAATTTGGTATGTCCGAATTAAAATTTGCTAAGCCTTCACAGCAAATCATACGATTATGCCTTCAAAATTTGGTAAGTCCGATTCACAAATTTTGCCTTAGAAAGTCCTATTCACGATTATGATTTAGCTACCAAATTTAGGAGATTTCTAATTTCTTTAAGTATATATCACATTGGCCTACATTCATTTCAATTGTGTTCTTCTCGATTCCAAACTTTTGCCTTGGAAAGAAAACTACAAGTAATTTGTTTGCTAAATCGTCATGTCTTACAAGCACATTCACCTTTTATCAAAAATCAATCTGACAAGTGAGTGTTGGAGGATTTGTGTTCGTGTGATACGGTTGTATACGTTGTCTGCCTTCAATGATAACAAGGCAATAAACTCAATAGAGATGGTGTTTACAAGGAATTTACTTGTGCCACGCACGTATATTTATAGCATTTACAAGGAATTCTCACCATAATAAAGTCTTTCCTAAAATACAAAAGGTAAGTAAATAATTAAATGTGAAACTCTCCTAATAGGGCCGTGCGTTACTCCATGAATCATGCATAGCCATGAATGGTATGATATGATTTCCAAGAATAGATTATTTTCTTAACATATGGTGATTGACAAAATTTACGAAAAATATTATTAAGAAACAATTTTAAATAATACTAAATTTGAAAATTATGATCACGAGTATATTATTCATCACCTTACTTATATTACGTAGGTGTTGATGCCGATTGAATAACAGTTGAGTTTTTGAATGAAATCAAATGTTTGGGAATCCCAAACCACAAAATAGTCTTGAAAAAGGGGGTACCGATTATGGTATTGAGGAACATTGACCAAACATCTAGGTTATGCAATGGGACAAGATTAATCGTTCAAGAGCTGCGAAATAATGTTATGGTGCAATTGTGGTTTCGGTAAATCGAGTCGTAGAAAAAGATTACATCCCTAGAATGAAATTGGTACCATCTGATCCAGGGCTACCCTTGAAGTTCAAAGAAGACTATTCCCGATCGCCTTATGTTTTGCTATGACTATCAACAAAAGTCAAGGTCAAACATTGTAATTTGTGGGATTATTTATGACCAAGTCGGTGTTCACATATGGTCAACTTTATGTTGCTGTTTCATGAGTGAAGACAAAGACAGGATTAAAGATATTAGTTCTAGATGACAATGGAAACCCCTACAACCATACCAAAAATGTTGTATACCCTGAAGTCTTTCAGAATATTGGTATTAAAATAAACATTGTTAACTCTACATTTAGTTCCTCAAATATTATTTATTTTACTTTGGCATTTTTCATCTGTAGTATTAAAAATCATGTGAGCAATATATTTTCTTTATACTGAAAAATAAATTTGATTGAAATAATTCAGAATCGACAAAAAATTTGTTCGACCCCGTGCATTGCACGGGTCAGAATACTAGTATATATATATATATGAGAGACAGAGAGAGATTGACATAATTTTACTACCCTATCCCAATTATTTGTCTAGTTTTTAGTTTTTACGGTCAACTATTTCTAACTTTTAACCTATAATTAAGTAAAACATACTCCCTCCGTCCCAAAAAGATTTACACGTTTCAAAAAAATTGTGTCTCACAATCTCCTACCCATTTCTATTAATGAAACCACTTTTACCCCTTACTTTTTCAAACCCTACCTATCACATCATACCTTTTTCCTAATAATCTACACATCACATCCTACTTTTACCCATTACATCAAGGGTGTTTTTGGAAAGTCAATACAAAATTATCCCTCCCTTAATTTCAACTTTAGTCAAAATGGGTAACACTTTATGGGACGGAGGGAGTATATGATACAGAGTACTTTACTGGGATAAATTAATATTTTGAAAATATTTTATACGGAGTAATATAAATCTAAAAAAATTATTTTTGTATTAATATCTAATATCTCTTTTATTTAATTTGTCATCAAAGTTTACCATTTTTTATTGAAAAAATCAAAAGTGAACAAAAATCCAGGAACGAAAGTGGTACTTGATTCCTAATACTCCCCCCGTCCTAAAACTTTCTTCCCAGAGTACTATTCCAACTTCACGAGAATTTATATTTATTTGTGTTTTTTCATGGCCTATATGATAAAATAAAATATTCTTGTCACCACTTGTTTTGCTGAACTTTTGATGTAGTTTTTAAATATGTATGTTTTATTTTTTATTTCTATACCAATATTTAAATAAAATAGGTTGAAAAAATTTGGAATTTTTCTTCGTTTTGCGCAACGGGAAGAAAGATATAGGACGGAATGAGTACGAAGTATCTTGGTAAGTTATCACAGCCGGTTGGCATTGTGTACCTAACAAGGTAAGGAGTGCACATGAGAATTACTCGAATTCGATTTCAAACAACTGTGGTAAGGCAAAACTATGTTAATCAAAAAGCCTCTACAAGAATCAAGTATATATTTCATTCTTTGTTAATAATCAGTGATTAAAATCTAATTTATTTCTTTTATAAATAACTGTCGGGCCAGTTTTGTGGGGCCCGGGATGGGGTTCTTCTTTTTGGTTGGCCACCAACCTGTCACGCTAGTCTTCGGTCGGAATTTGGACTTGTTTGCTAGTGTGCTAAGTACAGAGTAATGGAGTATTAGCCACGAGTTTTAAACAAGTTTTTTTCTTCTGGAGACTTCGTTTCAATCATAGATGTATAGGTTTACACTAATGGAGCTCTAATTTTTACTTTCTGTTCGCCAGCAAAAGATATTTTCATTATCTTTTTAACATTTACCCTCCTCATCCCAATTTATATTATCTGTTTCGGTTTATAATGTTTGACTGAAATTATTAATAAAATATTTTATATGAAAAATAATGTAAAATTTAAAGATAAGAAAATTGGTGTTATTCTTGAGTCTTTACACAAGACGGAGGGAGTATATTATGGCCTTCATTCTTGTCAATATTTTTGGTGTTATTCTTGAGTCTATTATTCTCAAACATCTACCCAAAATCATGTTTAAGAAGTAGTACATCACTGTTGACTTGTTCATCCCACATCGGCAATGCAGCCTTATATTGTGCTGCTATTTAATAGCTTGGGTACCTCAACCTCTTGAGTTAACTTTTGGGTTTGAATTGGGCCCAAGTCTATTGTTTCAACATGGTATCAGAGTTAAGTCATTGATGTTGGGGCCACGCCCGCAGTAATCTGCGCCTCGTGTAAGGGGGGCGTGTTGACTTGTTCATCCCACATCGGCAATGCAGTCTTATATTGTGCTGCTATTTAATAGCTTGGGTACTTCAACCTCAAAACACGTTATTGTTCATCAATAACCTCTGAAAAATACGAAATCAAAGCTCATTTCAGGACAGATTCTGTATGTTACAAATATAAAAATAACGAACTTAACCGATATAGAGTAATTGCTTATTGAGAATTGAGTTGTTCCATAGTTTAAGTTATGAATTGCATTAATGTGATTAATTGATATAAACATTGTTTATGAAATGTATTGATCGAGATTTTGGCATAAAACTGTATTTTATGAGTTGGATTGGAAAAGTGTAATTGATCATATCTCACTCGGCAATTTTATGACGTTATCGTATGTTTATACATTTAAAATGCATTAAATATTTGAATAATCATTTTG